AGAGAGAGAGAGAGAGAGAGAGAGAGAGAGAGAGAGAGAGAGAGAGAGAGAAAGGAGGGATAAGCAGAGAGATGCGAAGAAAGAAAGATACGAACGGAGAGAAAGAGTGAAAGCGAGATAACGAGCAAGTGGGAGAAAAAATGGAAACAAAAGGCGAAAGGGAATAGAAGGGAGGTGGGAAAGAGAATGGTGTGTGTGTGTTGTGTAGAAGGGGGATGAGAAAGGCTGCGGGCGAATGACGTTGATGAAATGCTTCTCAGTGGCGAACATGTAACGCGACCTCGGCGGATCGAGATAAACGCATTCGCGAGTCGGATTCCTGCACTCATCCCCTTTCCCCCTATTATCTTCCCTTTTCCTACCGCGTTCCCCTGATGCTCTCTCACCCACCACCTCACCGGATAGCACTGCATTCGCACGACGGCTCTTCCTTTAATCCATTCGAGCTTTATCTCATTGACGAGATAGTTGGCTCGCCGAGATACGTCCAAATCCACCGGTACATACACTCTCCGACCAGTCGGCATGCCTACGATCGTTTTAATCAGTGGTTCAGATCGACTCGATTGAAATCGGCCGAAGCGCGATTGAGGCCGGCCGTCCGCCACTACGCTCTGCTCTACGTAAAACTGAAATCGATTCCGCTCAGTTTGCTCACCGCAAAGCTCGTGACGGGATTTCGCGCGAGCGAAACGTGCGAAGCACTGCAAAGTCATAGTACAAGAAGCAAAAGTTAGCGCAGAGAAAAATCGAGGTTTGAACACCCACCAGAAGCTGCACAAAGACCATAATCTTGAAAATTATAACACTTTCAGAACAATCCTTGCCCTGATTACTCTATGTGCATAACATTTTTTTGTAAATCTATTAATGTGTAAAATCCTGATAAAAATGTATACATCTTTCTAATATTACTATATTGCAAGAATACTACAGTAATAAGAAAATTAAGTTAAATTCGTAATGTCAAATTGTACCTAGTTTGAGTGATTTTTAATAATTTCTATAGGTTGCTACTGCTGTCTCTCTTATTCAATTTATCATTAATTTTTAACTAAAAAACAATTAAACCATTTAATTCAAGGAAATATATTAAATTTGACTTACAAATTTAATTTATTATTATTATGTTAATTTAATATAGGACGTTATTTACTTCGAAACCAACCTCAGAGATGAGTTGATTTACATTTTGACATACAAGGAAGTTAAAAATAACAAGATGTTATTTAACTCAAGAGATTAGGCTGCGCTTCTTCGATATCTAATAGAACTTTATTTTTCCCTGGTAAAAATATGTGCATTTGCATGGACACCTTTTTCCAATTGCTCTCTGTTTAGTATTAATAGAATAATTATTAATTATAAAATACCGCGCAGTCCACATTTATTGTTCTGTTCTTGTTCAGTAAATGGGTTTGGATTTTGCATATCTTTTATGTGCAATAACTGCAGACAAAACGTTACATCCTGATTGGAATTCTAATTTTATAAGTAGTTTTATTTTTCAGTTACTGGACAGAGTTAATATAACTGTCCGGTAACTGTTCAACAAATGCATGAAATTTCTACCAAGAGAAATATATCCTACGTACACGTGCATATAAAGTACGAAGAAATAGGAAATACATGATTTCCATTCTTTTCCATATTAATGAATGTGAGAGCAGACAAAAAAGCGGATACTGTATTTCCGCATTTAATTACGCTCTAGTCTGCTTTCTGCACGCGTGAAGAAGATCGACGCGGAATTCTGAATTCAACGACACCGAGAACAGCGAATCGATAAGAAAGCATACATGGTGAAGGTATTGCTGATTCCACTGCGAGTTATACTGTACGCATACTAATACGTTCGTTCTTATTTATAAGCCGCGACATAGGTAACGCGGTGAGCCTACGTAATATAGAGATTCTCGAGTAAGACGACGATACCTCGCTTCGGCGTTTAAAAGCATCGTGTTAATATAAGAAGAGGGAAGGAAGAGGGAGGAGAGAAGAGCATAGGGAAGGAAGGAAGGAATTAAGCGACTCGATGTAAAAGGAGACGAAGACGCAGCTTTCGCGTGTTCCTCGGGCTTATCATCCGAAAGTTCTGCTCTCGCGAGCTCGTTTTCTCCTCCTGAGATTTGCTTAATGAGAAAAGTGAATAGAACTGTGGCTGCGCTGTGCGCTATCGAAAGTAGCAAAATTCTCTCTCTAACCGTCGTCGGCGAACATCTTCGAAACCGGGTGTATTCCCGGAGCTACGGTCACTCTGGTTTTTTCTCTCGTAGAAAAACCATCCCCTTTTTCTGACGACCCTGCACCACACCGCTCTTTTTCCACGATCCTGCCTTTTCGAACGGTCGAGTTCGTAGCGGAGAGCTTACACTGATAACGGGCCCCGTGCTCCCTAAGGATTTCTCGCAGAGGTTTATTCGACAGTTCTCCTCGTCACATATACGTGTAAAAATACACACACACGCACATTACGCTTTTTTTTTTTTTTTTTGGAATTTTACCGAACGGACAAGTTCGTACGGGAATCTTGTGCTGTTTTTGTCGCATGGGTTTTTTTTTCCTTTTCTTTGCTAGAGGAAAGGATTGTCAATAAGCACTGAAATATAGAGTATTGTTCAGAAAAACCAATAACAAATAACGAAGAAATAAATCAAAGCTTATACATTTACGTAGGCTATTTGTCATGTAAAAGGAGCATCTGCTACGTTTGTTTTTTCTTTTCATATCTTGAGTGAGACATTCATCTATTTATTTATCTAAATTACAAACTTTTCTATACATATACCATCGCGTTCAATATTATGTGTATTGATATAAATTTATCTTCTATTCAAAAGAGATATTCTTATATATCTATACAAAATTGTATGTAACAGAAATAAAACATTATATCCTGCCATCAGAAAATATAACACACAATTTTTGAATCAAGAAATAATCCGATTATGTTTCTAATGCAGT